CGTAACGCCAGATCTCAGGGCTTTCGAGGCGAAGTAGGGAAACGAATAATGAAATAAACATAAACATGAAAACTCGGAGGTCCGCGCGGACCTCCGAGTTATTATGTTTATGTCATTATTCGTTCCACTACGAAGGGCAGTGGACGGAGGCTCCTGGTCGGTCTCGGAGTCCTCCCCCTTCTCCTCGCCGGGGCCCTCCTTGGCGCCCGGCGTGGCCCCGCTGGCGGCCTGCCCCCGCACCCCCCCCCGCGCCGCCGCTGCCCGCTGCGGCGCAGCCCGCACCGCCGGTGCTCCCTCCTCTCGCTGTCGAACCTGATCCCGCTCCTTTGCTGCACCTTGCTTCCTATGGCTTCTCTATGTGTTTGTTTTTTTTGTTTGTTCTCTCTCTCTCTCTCTGTTTCTCTCTCTCTCTCTCCCTCTCTCTCTCCTTTTCTCTCAAGCTATAGATACCTATACGACCACCCTTCAAGTCAAAAAGAGGGTTCGGGGGGGAGGAGCCAACGTCTCACTCAAGCGGTACCACTATCAATCTCACGATCGGTATCACTCTCGATCTGAAACTATCGATATCACTGTGAATCTCACTACGGGACACCGACGGGACACCGACGGCGAGACACCGACGGGACACCGGCGGGACCCCGACGGGACACCGACGGACCACCGACGGGACATCACTGTCGATCTCACGATCGCTCTCACTCGATCGATCGCTATCGATATCCCTATCGATCTCACTGTGGATCTCACTACGAAACACCGACGGAGCACCAACGGGACACTGACGGGACACCGACGGGACACCGACGGGACACACCGGCAGGACACCCTCGGGACACCCGCGGCCACCGCCGGACAACACGAGGGGGAACGGTCTTTTGGCCCGGCGGCGCATTCCGCCCGCCCTCGCAGTTTCGCCTCGCCCGCGCGCGCGACACGAACAGGAAACCTACACCGATTTCCCGTGGGGTGCTCTCCGAGTCACTGCAATCTCACCCCCTCGCCTCATAGATATACATATATAGACACACACGCACCTGTATAATATATGCATATAGGGAAAACAATATATACCGCGCGTGTGCGCAGACCATATACCTATATTTCTATACATAAGCAGGTTGGTATATGTATGTACATACATACATATACATAGAGATGTAATGCATATATATAAATATATATATATATATATATATATATATATATATATATATATAACACACACACATACATACATACATACATGCATACATACATGCATGCATGCATGCATACATACATACATACATACAACCATACACACAAACAAACAAACAAGCAAACAAACAAACAAACATACATACATACATACATTACATTACATTACATTACATTACATTACATTGCATTACATTACAATACATTACAATACATTACAAAACATTACATTACATTACATTACATTACATTACATTACATTACATTACATTACATTACACTACACTACATTACATTACATTACATTACATTACATTACATTACATTACATTACATTACATTGCATTGCATTACATTACATTACATTACATTACATTACATTACATTACATTACATTACATACATAGATACATACATACATACAGATACATGCAGATACATACATATAACTATATAAATATATATATATATATATATATATGGGTATAATAGTGATGAAGAGCCCAGAAAACGGCTGCGGCGGGGGTTCCTAGGAGGGGTCCTGTCGGGGAGCTGCGGAAATGCATGGAAAAAAATATGGGAATGCATGAAGTGAGCGAGAACTTTTTTGAAGTGAAGTGAGCATGAAGTGAAAAAAATATATGGGAATGCATGAAATCATTTTTTTATTCCGGCCGGTAACGCTCGTTACCCGGGGGGGGGGGGGGGGGGGGGCGTGCCCCCCGGGTAACGGTAACGCTTGGGCTGGGCGGGGTATGGCGAAGCAGGGGCGCTCTGCGATCGCCATAGTATGCGCGCGAGCAGCACTCTCTGCCTGAGAGCACCACAGTGGCTTGCGATTCGAGTACAAGCGCAAAGCCCGCCGCGTGGTCCCGGCACCACGCCCGCGCCCGCGCGCGCGACGACGATGATCGACGAGCGACGAGCGACGAGGTCGACGACGACGACGACGACGTTTGCCGCCTGTTTCGGCCTCCGGAGGCCGTTTTCGGGCGCCGTCGACGACGACGACGACGACGACGACGACGACGACGACGACGACGACGACGACGACGACGATTCGAGTACAAGCGCAAAGCCCGCAAGCACCAGCATCGCGCATGCGAGCGCCGCAATGGCCTGCGAGCGCCCACAGTGCGCCTGCGACCACCACACCACAGTGCGCATGCCTTCGGGCACCAGCATGTTGGAGGGGAAGACCGAGACCCCCCCCGCGTACGAGCGTTACCGTTACGGGGGGGGGGGGGGGAGAGGCCCGGGTAACGAGCGTTACCCCCCAGAGGATAAAAAAACAATCTCAAAAGGAAGTGCATGGTGGGTTCATCGGGTTTTACACGTAGCACCCCGCCGATGCGGATAACAGTGAAGGGGCGGTGGGGACGTCAGCAGTCTGCGAGACTCTGGAGAAGCCCGCCGCAGGTGCCACAGTTTCACCAATTATACAACGATCCCGCCGCAGGCGACGATGTCTTCGGTAAACCAATGTGGCTAAGTCGCGGGTGGGTCGCGGGTGGGCCGCAAATGTGTCGCAGCTGGGTCGCGGGTGGGTCGTTGTTGGGTCGCGGGTGGGTGGCGGGGTGGGTCGCGCGGGTGGGTGGCGGGGTGGGTCGCGGGTGGGTGGCGGGGTGGGTCGCGGGTGGGTCGCGGGTGGGTCGCGGGTTGGGTCGCGGGTAGGTCGGGTTGGGTCGCGGGTGGGTCGCGGGTGGGTCAGGGGTGGGTCGCGGGTGGGTGGCGGGGTGGGTCGCGGGTGGGTGGCGGGAGGGTCGCGGATGGGTCGCGGGGTGGGTCGCGGGTGGGTCGCGGGTGGGTCGCGGGTGGGTCGCGGGTGGGTCGCGGGTTGGGTCGCGGGTGGGTCGCGAAGTGGGTCGTGGGTGGGTCGCGGGGTGGGTCGCGGGGTGGGTCGCGGGGTGGGTCGCTGGTGGGTCGCGGGGTGGGACACCGACAACAAACAACAACAACAACAACAACAACAACAACAACAACAACAACAGCAGCAGCAGCAGCAGCAGCAACAACACAACAACAACAACAACAACAACAACAACAACAGCAGCAACAACAACAACCACAACAACAACAACAACAACAACAACAACAACCAACAATTTAAGACTGTTCGCCCTTATCTGCTCGAGTCTCCAATAACGCGTATTTCTCAAACCCTCAATACCCGCCGTCTTCGTTTTCGATCGAACCCCTTTGGGGGGGTATACATTTCTTCCCTGCAGGCTGGGCAACAGCAAGAGGCGGGGCGGCCGCGGACCGTCGGCCTGGCAAGCGGCAGCGCTGATCGGCGGGGCGGCCGCGGACCGCCGACCCGACCCCAAGAGGGACGGACAAAAGACCGACCACGACGACGACGACGACGTCGACGACGACGGCAACGACGACGACGGCGACGGCGACGGCGACGACGAGCGACAGCGAGAGCGAGAGAGAACGACAGCAGGGCCACAAGGACACGAAGTAGGCCACGAAGGGCGACAGCGGGGACACGAAGGGAATGCGTTTATATATATATATATATATATATATATATATATATATATATATATATGCACGCATGCATACACGCATACAGACATGCATACACGCGACATGCATACATGGATACATGCATACGTACATGCATAGATGCATCCGCGCATACATGTACGCATGCATTCATGCATACATGCATACATGCAACCATGCATACATACATACACGCACACATTCATGCATGCATACATTCATACATGCACACATGCAGACATGTATACCTGCATACGCGCATGCGCTGATACATATATATATATATATATATATATATATGTAGAGGGGAACGCTGCGCGGACTGGTTTGCGCAGTCCGCACAGTGTCAAAAATGAAGCTTCACCGAAGCGAAACGATCATTGCATAGAAACCTATCAAAACACACCGTGTTCTCATATTTTTGCAAAGCGCACAGCAGAGAAATCAACAACGCAAAACATAAAACTACCAATCAATCATTTTAAATTAAAAACGCAAAACAATTAAACAAAAATCGGTATACCTGTTTTTCTCTCGTGCTAACAGTAAAGAAATGCTATATAATTCGCAGTTAGAGAACCGATACTGAAACGCGTCTGCACCACAATTATGCGGTTGCACACAGAAAACCCACCATTTTCAATGAAAAAACTTATTTACCATGTCCAATGGGAAATGCTATATAATTCGCATTTAGACCACCGACATTGGGACGCGTCTTCACCACAATTCCGAAGTGTCACCCAGACAACGGACGACTTTCATTAAAAACAGAAGGTCGCGAAAATTATGTTTTACAAAAGGTTTTCTTGATTGTCACTTCCATGAAGAAGTGCTATATAATTCGAACTTCGAGTTGAAACGCAGTCGCTCGATAATCCTCGGGTTGCAAATAAAGAAACACATAATGTCATTAAAAAACAGAAGGTCCAACAAAAAATGAAAGGTTTTGTGATGATTGTCTTGGTTGCCATTTCCATTAGGAAATCCTATATATATATATATATCGCCAGTTCTAATAAGGGTTGGCGGAATGGCATCGGACATCTGCATGCGAGAGCTGCTACACGAGTGCAATCCCGCTCTACACAACGCTTTGTTAACGCACCGGCAAAGTCTCAAGCGCGGAAGTCAGACTGCGTGACAACAATATCATCATCAACACCGCAGATATGATGCAATCGGAATATACTCAATCCTCTGTTTCTTGGTTAGCCGCCTTTCAGGCTTAACCACTTCCTCCCTTTTCAATGAGCGATAACACAAGCTTGGTTGTTTCTGCATATTCAAGAGAAAAATAAAGTAGACAACTTTGCACGCCCAGACTTCATATTCGATCGGTTCCCTACGCGGCAGCTCTTCCTTTACTAGTTTACGGAGCCGCTTATAAATGAAACCAGCAAATTAACACATCTGTTCCACCAGTCTGACATTTGGCCCTGCTAAATCGTAGAGCGGTTCGCCCGGCACGTCGATCTCAGCATCAGATGCGATAAAGGTCCAAAGAAGAACGC